TTTGTCATCCATTGAATTTAATATATGAACACTAATAATTTTGACCAAGATTTATGGTTATCTTTATTAACTGTCATTTTGGCATCCATTGGATTTAATGTATGGACACTAATGATTTTGACTCAGATTTGTAATTAGGAAATGAAATAACTATAAACGTTGTCAAATGGTGTTTCTCCTTGTCCAGAAACATGTGGGCCTTGTTTTCAAAGGAATATGTGGTTAGTATAAGCTGATGTTATCTGTGTGAAAAAAAATTACAGATTTAATTTTTCCCTAAAAATGTACTTTATTCCTCTTCAGATGAAAGAAAAGATCTTTTCTTTGAGTTTTAATCGCTGGCAGTGATGGAATTTACTTGTTATCAGCTAGTGAGAAAGAGAAATGGCAGCGTGGGTTAAGGCAAGGGTTTAAAAGTTATTTTCTTATAAAAACTCGTAGAGGTATCATTTGTTGTTAGTATTTTATTATATTTAATTACTTTAGATCCATGTTCACAAAGTTATAAATCAAATAACTAAGGGTTAACTCCAACTAAATGTTGCACAAATCTTCATATATTGCTTGCATTTATTGAATTATTGTTTATTAGTTGTGGGCCACAACGACAATATATACATTAGAAATGTTAAAGCTTGCTGGGTGATGGTGGTGCACACCTTTAATCCCAGCACTTGGGAACCAGAGACAGGTAGATCTCTGTGAGTTCCAGGCCAGCCTGGTCTACAAAGTGAGTTCCAGGACAGCCAGGTCTGTTACACATAAAAACCCTGTCTCAAAATAAAAAAAAAAAATTAAAAAAAAGAAAAAGAAAGAAATGTTAAAGCTTAATTTTCGTACATGATACACACTAGTTATTAGACGAGAATCTGTTACTAATTTTCATGTTAATAAAAACCCGACAGAAGGATAATGATTTAATATAGATTAATATTTCATATCAGGAACTGGAGAGATGGCTCAGCAGTTAAGAGCACTTGCTACTCTTGCAGAGGACCTAAGTTCATTTCCTAGTGCCCACATAGCAGCTCACAACCTTCTGTAACTCTGATGCCAGAGAATACAATGTCCTCTTCTTGCCTCTGTGGGCACCAGACATGTGTGTGGTCAAAAATATATGTGCAGGCAGAAATTCATACACATAAACCAAAATTAGAATAAATTATGTTGCATAGTGTTACTGAAGAATTGGCTTAGAGAAGTGGTGTCTTTCATTAATTTATCTTAAATGTTTTTAAATCTCTGGCAGGAAGAACTATACTGAGCTATTGATTTTAAAAGAATATTTTGTTTTGTTCTTGAAACAATTGAACTCAGTTTTCATCACTGGCGTTGAGAGAATGTACTTATTATTAGCCAATGGAAAGGGGACAAATGGCATCAGGTGTGAAGGCAGTGACCAGGAAAATGGAATAGTTCCTTCAATTAAAAAAGTTAACATTTTTCATGATCTATTAAAATGAATTCTTTTGGTTAATGCACAAATAAACAGTTTTTATCGTTGATGTTTCTTATTTATGTCTCACAAAGCTGGGTTTCCTTAATATATCAGTTAAGAATATATAAATACTATAAATGTATTTTCATATATAGTAAAAATCACAATGGTTAAAAGTTTGGGGGCTAGATCCATGACTCAGTAAAGTACTTGACACATAAGCATGAGACCTGCCTGAGTACGGATCTCCAGCATTCCCATAGAAATCTGGGCACAGTGGTGTGCACCTGTAGTTCCAGTGCTGAAAGGCAAGATAGGAAGATCCATGGGGCTTGTTAACTAATCAGCCTGGCAAATCAGTGACCTCCAGGTTCAGTGAGACACTGTCTCAAAAAATGGGAGAGAGGACTGGAGAGATGGCTCAGCGGTTAAGAGCACTGGTTGCTCTTCCAGAGGTCCTGAGTTCAATTCCCAGCAACCACATGGTGGTTCACAACCATCTATAATGAGAACTGGTGCCCTCTTCTGGCCTGCAGGCATACATGCAGGCAGAACACTGTATACATATTAAATAAATCTTTTTTTTTTTTTTTTTTTTTTTTTTTTTTTTTTTTTTTTTTTCGAGACAGGGTTTCTCTGTGTAGCTTTGCGCCTTTCCTGGAACTCGCTTTGGAGACCAGGCTGGCCTCGAACTCACAGAGATCCGCCTGGCTCTGCCTCCCGAGTGCTGGGATTAAAGGCGTGCGCCACCACCGCCCGGCTAAATCTTTTTTAAAAATGAGATGAGAGTGATTGAAGGAGACTCCTGATGTTGACCTCTGGTCTCCACATTCACCTGTACACATATGTGTATATGTGTATGCACACACATACACATGCACAGACACACAGAGAGTTTAGGGACACAATTTCATTTCTCTACTTAGATGCTCTGCTTCATTTTCATGTATATAATGAGAAAATGGCAATCCTTACCTTCTTATAACACTGCCTGGTACATAATAAGCATTTAATAAGTTAAAGCTATCTATCTATCTATCTATCTATCTATCTATCTATCATCATCATCATCATCATTTTGTTATTGAAAAGGTCGAGTTTGGGACTCAACATGGGAATCCTGTGGAGTTTTGAAGGATGAATATAAATTATCCAAAGTAGAAAGATAAAGAAGTAAGGGTTGTCCAAGGGTAGAAAAAAAACTAGGAACAATAAATGTAGAAATGTCAGTAAAAGCAAACATGTGATCCAAGGACAGTGTTTTAAATTAGCCATGTCTTTGGCCATGTTTTATTGTATTACAGAGCCTGAAGAGAGGATTATACTGAAGATACAGACAACAGAAAGTGACTCCCAAGGTTGCCAAGCTTCTGAGGACTTAGAAAGGGGCTGCATGAGTGTGTGGGTCTCTATATGTATTGGCATATACAAATCTATATATTCAACTTTTTCTCTTTTCTGCCAGCATCCGTGTTTTAGTCAGGTACAGCCTTTTCCATGAACACTATAGTCATGCCATAAGTATACCTCACCTAAAGTACAAGATCCCTCCCTCAGTTCTGATCACATGTGCTCCATGTTCACTTTCTTTCTTAGAGTCTATAACAAAATATTTGTGACTCTGTTAGCTGATATAGTGCAACTGTTGGGGATTCTTGTGGAGTTTCTTTGGGCAGGAGTGTTATATTCCTAAGAGTTGCTAATATTTCAGCTTTCCTTTGCAGGAGGTAATTCCCAACTGAAATGGATGGCATGATCATTAGGATAGTTAAGTAGACTATTTAGGCTCTACTGTCTACATGATGAATCTGAAATCGAGTTTACCAGGATGTCCTGCATTTCTGGTTTCTAACATAAATTAAAAAATTCAGTTGTTTTTAAATATCAGACCAAAACCAAAGGAGAAAAATGATGTCTGCTGACCACATTGAATACAGATGTTATTATACTTCAGTTCCACTTTGTATAAAGCATTATCAACTATCACCAAAATATACTGGGGTTATACAACAATTTAGAATATATTTTAATGCAATTATTAAATGTTATTTCTTAGTTCAGAACAAGTTTTCAAATTTCTTGACTTACTACTGCTCATCATAATTGATCATGGAAAACATATATTCTATCTACATCAGTTAGCTTCCTATTTTCTGTAGGTGACCAACTTTCAATACTCAGAAAAGATAGGCTTTGGGTTTTTATCTTTGTTTTTGTTTTGTTTGTTTTTGTTTTTGCTTTTGTTTTCAGAGAGCTTAGGGTGATAGCCTTAATAATAAATAAGTGTTAATGGGTTAAAGTGTATGTCATTGTCCTCTGGGTCGGTTATAATACTGCAAAGGAGCCACAATATCTCAGTGACATAGTAAAAAAGTGGGTTTTTTTTCCTAGCAAGTCTACAAATTAGCTGAACACTTCTGACATTGGCGTAGTTGATTTGACAGATTTTTGGATATTGGCTGGAGTTTACTGATGTGTCTAGAGGTCTGCTGGCTGTTAGTTGATCTAGGACATCCTTGGCTAGGTTTATCTGCTCTGTTCCATTGTAATCATGGCCTTTCAATAGGAAAAGCCTGGGTTGGGTGGAAATGGCTATGTTCCCAAACAGAGAGCATGGAATCATATAAGGCTTCTTGAGACCTGGACTTGGAGCTGCTAGGTAGCTCTTGGACCACATTGTTCAGGATAGTATAAAGTTATGAGCCTAGCTCATCTTGAAAGTGAGGGCAAGTAGACTCTTGATGAAAATCACATTCTAAGAAGCATGGATAGAAGTTAGGATACAGTATTGAGGCCGCTTTGCAGCTGGTCTACCATATCCTCTTGCATCTTTCTCTGTCTGAATTGTCTAGGTTTCTGTTCAGGGGGCCGTTTCATGGGCAACTTGGCAAGAAATGATTGTGGGTCTCAGCCATACTCAATTGCCTTAGTAAATGGGCAAAGCAGGCAGTCTGTTACTATACAGACATATCGAAGGGAGAGAGAGGCCTTTGGTCCTTTCTGCCTATGGTTTGTCCTTTAAGTTTTATCTGCTTTGTTCCCAAGAATAAAAGAGAAAATCACAGAAGAAATATTGTACATAAAGCAAGAAACAAATCAATTAAAGCTAAGTAAAATCCTCTGAAGTATTTAACAAGGGAAAAATTGAATATTGCAGTTTAATTTCGTGTAGATCATGAATAGCAGCAGCTGTTGGAACCAAATGCAGTGCATTGTTCATGCTTTTAGCCTTGCTGGTAAGAGTCTGATAAGTAAGAGTGGACAAAAGAATTGGAGCTTCAACTTCAAAACATCAGAATATCTTCTTCACTGAGCAGTTTTTCACATGCTTTGTGGTCTTCTCCCCATTGATTATGGACTCACTGCTTTGACAAAACATGATTCCAAGAAGGGACGATGGTGGTTACTGGCTTCAGAATCAGTTATTCCTCATAGTTTTATATGCTTTGTTCAGGCATTCATAACAGCACAGTGCCTTGTATGATATAGATATTTCAGTAGGTGTTTTGAAGCATTAGAATGTTAATTCCCCATCTTATACCTCTTTTTCTTTCCTTTTCAGCATTAGTAAATCGACTTATTGAAAGCACCATTCAAGAAAACAAGGCTAGACAGGACTATGTGGGTTTGATAGAAGTGCCCGACTCTTATGATGGTCCTCGGCTGCAATTTCCTCTCACGTTTACTGATATTGATTTACTTCTTCAGGCCTTCAAGCAACAGCAGGTAACCTCAAGCAGAAGCTGCTCTGGTTCTCATTCCGAGCTATCAAATGCATGAATGAAAATGCTGTAGCATGTATTTCCATGGGAATGTTTTTCATTGTGTGACAATTACTGTCTTTGTGTAACCTAATAAATAGATGTTTCCTTGGGTGCACAGTAACTTCCTCTTTGTAGGCCTACTGCATGTCCCTTTTCATTTTCTGAGAATAGTTCACAAACTATAAAGTTTGTTACTTAAAAAATATATGGTTCAAAAATTTTAATGTAGTCACAAGGTTGTATACTTACTAGCACTATCTAATTATAGAACATTCTCATCATCTCCATCTACTATTATTCCTCCTTTGCCCTAAACAGCTACTGATTCGTTTTCAGTCTCTGATGATTTGCCTATTCCAGATATTTCATATGTATAAATGAGGATGTACTAAATTGACTTTTTATAGTTGGCTTCTTTCACTAAACATAGTGTTTCTAATATTTGCCCATGTTGGAGCATGTATCAATATATCATTTCTTAGGCCAGGCATGGTGGCGCACACCTTTATTCCCAGCACTCAGGAGGCAGAGGCAGGTGAATCTCTGTGAGTTTGAGGCCAGCCTGGTCTACCGAGTGAGTTCTAGGATAGGCTCCAAAGCTACACAGAGAAACCCTGTCTTGAAAAACAAAAAAAAAAAAAACATCATCTCTTTTTATGGCTACATAATATTTCATTGTGTACTATATAGTTGTTTACTGATTTATCAGCATATGGATATTTGAATTTTTTATACCTTTTGGCTGCTATAAATAATGCTGCTATGAAAATTCACATCCAATTTTTAATGGACATGTTCCCATTTACTTGGTTATATATGTGCTTAGGAGAGGAATTCTGGGGTTATATACTTAACTCTATGTCTAAGTTTTTGAGTAACTGCTGAAGTTTTTCTACAAGTGGTTGAATAGTTTTATATTTCTACCAGCAGTATATAAGGGTTCTACTTACTCCAATTTTTGACATTTGTTATTTTATTTTGATTATTGCTTTCCTAATGTATGGGAAGTGATGTCTAGTTCTAGTTTTGACTGACATTTCTCTAATTAATAATGTTCAGTCTTTTCATCCATTTGTATAACTTCTTGGAGAAGTACCTATGCAGAACCTTTGCGCATTTTAAAATCAGTTGTCTTTTTCTTCTTGGGCTGTAGGCGTTCTCTCTAGATACAGGTGCCTTATCACATATTATATGACCTGAAACCATTTTCTCCTTTCTTTAGTTGGTCTTTTCGCTTTGCATTTTGTATTTGTGAGATTATAATGTAATCACAACATCTCTCCCTTCCCTTCCCTCCTTCCAAACCCTCCCATATGTCCCTCCCCCCCACTCTTCAATTTCTTAGCCTCATTTTCACTAATTGCTGTTACATGCATATATTATACACATACCCCCAGTGACACACCTTCGCCCACAAGGTCACACCTCCTAATCCTTCCCAAACAGCTTCAACAACAGGGGACCAAATAGTCAAATATATGAGCCTATGGGGGCCGTTCTCATTCAGACCACCACAACCATCAAAGCATATGCTTTGAAATAGTTAAAATGACCAATTTTTATATGAATTTTATCTCAACTTTAAATATACATATTTCTTGATTTATTTTTACAAATGAGAATGCATTATATACTGTGCTTAACCTTGATTCTTCTCTTAATATAATTTTTCCATATTTATAGAGCCAAAATGATCATTAACATGTAAATAAAATTAACATCTCTATAATGGTTCCTTGAATCAATGTTGCATATTTTGTCTACTTGAACATACTATCCATGTTTGTTTTAACTCTGACTCTAATGATGTAATTATTTAAATATTCTACCAGTCTGTTGCCATTGCTTATTATTTGCCTCAGTTTTATTTCATGTATTTTATATCCTCATAGGCCTGGCTACAGTTATACTGAGTTCTGGACATTATATATGAAAAACTATAAAAATATTTTTAGGTCTATTTTCTCCCAGAGAATTTAAATTTGCTGTTAGCAGGTGGCCCGAAGATCTAGCTGTCTAGTATGATCTCAAATCATTTTTAGGAATTAGATGATTCAAAGCTCTGCTTCAGTTCCAGCAAAACCAATCTATCACTTCCAGATCACTCTTACTTCTGGGGTGTGTCTTCCAGTGTCCTAATCAGAGAATGATGGTTTGGGATGATGTCAGAGAAAAGGGTGGTGTAGGAAACTCCAAGGCCCAATCTTTCCAGATAAATTGAAAAATCAGGCAAAATTTATTTTGCTTTATTTTCCTTTCCCTTTTCTTTCTCTCTTGAGAGTTAAAAAGACTTGAACCATTCTCTCTGCCTAGTTCTTGTTGACTGAGGAGATGTGAGTGCTCAGGTACTGCCTTGGTACCCTGCCTGCCTTCCTGCTGCTGTGCTCCCTATCATGACAGTCATGGACTCAAACCCTCTGGAACCATAGTCCCGAAATTAAATAAGTTTATAAGTTTCCCTGGTCATGTTGTTTTGTCACAGCAATTGAAAAGTAACTAAGATATTGTTTTGGATATATTAAAATGCTATACAACTGTCACCACTATTTATTTCAAGAACTTTTTTTAAAAAAATTTTATTTTTCAGTATTAGGGATTGAACCCTCAGCCTTGTATGTATGAGGCAAGTGTAGCTGAATTTCCTGTGTCCCGCCTGGTCTGCAGCTGCTCAGACTCAAGTAAACATACACAGGCTTATATTAATTAAAAAGCTTGGCATTAGCTCAGGCCTACCACTGACTAGCTCCTACACTTAAACTCAGCCCATTTTTGTTAGTCTCTAAATCGCCATGTTTATGTGGCTTTACCTGTGTGCTATTACATGCTGTTCTCTGGACAATGGGCTGGCATCTCCTCACTCAGTCTTCCTCTTGTCTCTCTCTTTGAATTTCCTGCCTGCCTCTAAGCTGCTTTGCCATGGGCCAAATAGCTTTATTTATCAACCAATCAGAACAACACATATTCACGCATACAGAAAGACATTCCCCCATCAGGCAAGGGCTTCTATTTCCCAAATGTTTTTGTCATCTCAAAATGAAACTTTATACTCATTAGCAGCCACTCTTTTTCCTGCAGCCCTCAGCTCCTGACAGTCACTAATCTGGATATTTCATATTAATGGAACATATGTGGCCTTTGGTGTTTGGCTTCTTTCACTTGTCATAATGCTTTCAGAGTTTATCCATGTTGTTACATAAACCAGTGCTTTATTCCTATTTTTTAGGTTAATGTATGGTTACTTTCCATGTATAACATCACATTTATTTAAGGAATTAAACATTTATACCTACATTTGAATATTAATGTGTGGTTATATTAATTTTTATATACTCATAAACAAAGAATATTTTGGAGAAAGATATTAAAAACATTATCAACATTAGCTGTCTCGAGGGACAGAGATTAAGACACAAAGGTCTGGGGAAAGGGGAAAATAATTTTTCATTATTCTACCCCTTTTTAATGATTTTTTTTATTTCAGCCAGAAGAATGTGTTGTTTGTCATTTAAAAGCTACTTGAGCCAGTCATGGTAACACATGCTTTTAATCCCAGTACTTGGGAGGCAGAGGCAATAGGGTCACTATGAGTTTAAGGCTAGCCTGGTCTTAATAGTGAGTTCTAGGCAAGCCAAGGCTGTTTAGTGAGACCCTGTCTCAACAAACAACTTAAAAACAGAAATAAGCCAGGCATGGTAGCATATGTCTGCATTCCAGAACTTGAAATGAAGGCAGAGACAGGAGGATTGCTCCAAGTTCAAGACTAGCTTAGTCTACATAGCTAGTTCGAGGATAGACAGTCTCTTTCTTTGTCTCATCTCCCTCTCTGTCTCTCTGTCTTTCTCTCTCTCTCATACATACAAACACATATACACATTAACACACACACACACACACACACACACACACACACACACACACACACACAAAGAGGAAAATATCCTTACAAAGTAGAAGTTTCTTCCTTGAACTCCTTTATGATAATGTTAATATTTTATTTAAGTGGTTCTTTTATCTGATATGTTTATAAAAGTAAAAACCAACATTTGAATAAACTACTTTGAATATTTAATATTTTGGTTATAAACATAACAATTATAATCCTGTTGATATATAGCTTTCTAAACAAGTACTAATAGTAACAAAGTTATTTTAGTCAATCTTAAGGATGTTCAAGAAAACTATATTAATATTAAGAATTTTCTGTTTACAAGGTATTTTCAGTGAAATTTGTTAACATTAGAAAACAAAATGAAAATAAAGATGACTTTAGATGCAGTTACTCTGATTAGTGATACAATGGTCCAGAAAAGCTACAATTGCACATTAAACCAGCATTAGAAATCTGTAGATTAAATGTACAATTAAATGTACAGAAACAAGCCATTAAACAGCAACATTTTTGCCCATTCTTTAAAAATATTTAGCCAGGGGCCACTGAGATGGGTCATGGGTAAAGGCACATAACACAAGCTGAGGAATATGGTGGCAGGAGGGAATCAGCTCTCATAAGTTGTCCTTTGACCTCCACACATGTGCTGTGACATGTATGTGCTCCCCAATAAAATACATAAAAAAATATAAAACTATAAATAAAATGGGAATTCAAGGACTTGGGAAGCTGAGGCAGGAGGGATGTCATGATGTTTGAGCCAACCTGTGCTACATAGTGAGATCCAGGCCCTGTGTTAAAAACCTAACTTTAGACCAACAGCTGTGGAGCCTCCATGGGACTGGACTAGGCCCTCTGCATAAGTGACACAGTTGTGTAGCTTGATCTACTTAAGAGGCCCCCTGGAAATAGGATCAGAATCCATCCCTGGTGCTTGAGCTGGCTTTTTGGAGCCCACTACCTATGGTGGGATACCTCACACAGCCTTGAGGCAAGGGGAAGGGCTTAGACCTTCCTCTACTGAATGTACCAGGCTCTGCTGACTCTCCATGGGAGGCCTTACCTTGTCGGATGAGGGAATGAGGGGTGAGTTGGAGGGAGTAGTCTGGGGGTGCAGGAGGAGGGAAGAGAGGGGGATCTGTGGTTGGTATGTAAAATGAAAAAATCTAAATAAATAAATAGAAAAGTAAAAAGTAATAAAATGTGGCTGTGGATTGAATGGCTTTAGAATACGTTTGTAGGGGGAAAAGATTTATGAGTCCATTGGCTTATGTGGGCAGGAAATGATGGTCTAATAGAAATATGTGAACCATATATTTAGAATTTTCTAGTATTCACATAAAAAAGACAAAATCAATTTTAGCAATATATTTAACTCAGTACACCTTAGTATATGAAACATTTTAATATACAATCATATTAAAATCATTGAGACATTTTGTGCTTTTTTTCCATACCAAGTCTTTGAAATCCACTTTGAATTTTGTTCTTTGTTGTTGTTTGAGACAGGGTTTCTCTATGTAACAGCCTTGGCTGTCCTGGAGCTTGCTCTGTAGACCAGGCTGGCCTTGAACTCACAGAGAGCCGCCTGCCTCTGCCTCCCCAGTGTATGTGCCACCACCACCCTGCCTGAAATTTGCTCTTATAGCACATCTCAATTCTCACTAGCCCCCATTTCAAATACTCTGTTATCTCATATTGCAAATAGCTACCATATTGAACATCCCAATTCTAAGTCCATCTGAACACTAAAGCTATGTTGGCATCAGTTAAGTTTGTGTGATAATCACATATTTTAATCTTTTCTTGTGGAGTATGTGTTTGGAAAATTCATAATTTAAAACCAAGGAGAAAGGCACACTGGATTTTTAAAAGCTTAAAGGAAAGGACAGTAAGTCTGTAGAAAGCAACGACCCCATTGATGCTGTAACTGGAGGAGTGTGGTAAGGCAGTAATAAATAGGAAGTCATCCAAGTGTTTTGAGATTGGAACATTTTCTCTAGTTAGACTTTTATCACAATGTGCTTGCTGTCTTGAGCATTCTGTACACCCAATTCTGGAGCTATACTTCGGAGGTTTGGGAGCTTGTGTGGTTCCCCAGTGAAGTCTCTGTGCTCAGCAACACCTGCTACGCAAGTAGCAAGGCGTGTCAACCAATGAAAAGCTACACCTCAGCCATAGGCTCTTTGCTTTGCTTTTCCTTCCTTGTTTCCTTTTCCCCTCCCTTTTAAATGATTCTCTTTTTTTTGTCCTTTTCCTCATGTCCACTATTTTTTTTCTTTTTTTATTAAGAATTTTTTTCATTCATTTTACACACCAATCACAGATCCCCCTTTTCCCTCCTCCCGCCCCCGCAGCCTTCCCCCCAACTCACTCCCAATCCCCCCCCCACAAGAAGGCAAGGCCTCCCATGGGGAGGCACATTCAGTAGAGGCAAGTCCAAGCCCTTCCCCCTGCCTCTACCTATGATGGGACACCTCGTGCAGCCTTAAATGATTCTTATTGTTACTCTTTTGTCTAAACCTTTTCTTTGGGCAAGTGAACCCCACCCTCATTTTCCCCATCTCTCCTCTTGGGATCTAAAAACCAAAAATAAACAAAAATATTCTAAACAAATGTATAATGTCAAAAAAGAACATGATACTATAAATAATTTTAGGAACCATTCATTTATTTAATTACAAATATCTCCTGAGGGCTTTTTATATACTAGACACTATGTTAGAATAATCTATTTGAGAATAAAGATTATCCTGAAATACAGTGACCTAAAATGTGCTCATATGCTTCATTTTTATAGTTTTCTACACAGTCATGTCTTTCTCCCTCGTTCATTATCTCTATTTCCTCTGCTTCCCCTTCGCAGACACTTCATGCTCATTATGTCTTAGAGGTGCTATTTGAAGCTAGGAAAGTCCTGAAGCAAATGCCGAATTTCACTCACATCAAAACCTTTCCCTGCAAAGAGGTAACAATCTGTGGTAAGTTTCAGAGGAGAGTTGTCACATTAATATTTAGGAGCCTCTTGGTCCTGCATCATTTGCCTAACTTGAAAACTATGGAAATTGGATTGTGTTAAGGGGAAAATGTTAATATAGAATTATCTATCATGATAATACTGTTCCCATCTTGTCTTTGTTTTGCATACCAGCTGGCAGGAATTAATTATGTGGGAAATTAAAGAACTCTTGTAGCTTTTTCTAAAGGCAGATAGCATTTTAATATGGAAAGCCACTAATGGGTAGAATAAGTGTTCTTTGCCCTGACTAGCTCTCATTATCTACGTCCCATGTTGCTTTTCCCAGGTGGGCCTCTGTGTGCATGCCACTTCTACTGGGAAGAGAAACACCCAAGGCTGGGTGGAGATTATATTCTTTTCTGCCCTTGGCTGCTGTTTTGGATTTTTCCAACTGGTCTTTGCAGCTTTTAAAGGAGTGGAATGTCCCCAAAATCTGTTTCTTGTACTTCTAAATAACAAGATTTGAGATTTTGTTATCTTATAGGCCAGCCTGGCAGGATATTGCTTCAAGAAACAGTACACATTGAAATTCATCACAGTTGGTGCTCAGCATGCTTACACTGTCTGCGAGTGGGGTGCATGGAAGGAACAGCAATTCCCTAACTTCTAATTAAGGCTTTAGGTTACAAAACAGTGATTGTTATTTTCCAAATCAGTTTTTAGCCCACGTTCTCTTATGCTGGCAGGTAGAAGTGGATTTGACAATCTAATTAAACCCTTTCCATTCCCAGCATCTCACAGTGGTGACAGGGACTTGATGTAGCAGTGTATGTTTCATGACATGGCCTGACTCTGGTTTTTGAAGAGTCTCTAATGGTTTAATTTCAACCTTATCAGGCCACCAGATCTCTCTAGATAATAATATACCTAAGCACAGAGACCTTTTATTCAAAGCCATAGCAGGCTTTGCTTCTGATGGAAATAAAGAACTATGGGTCATAAGGCTCAGTAAACCATGCCAACCTGTGAAGCCTCTGAAGCCAGGGGCTAGGTTTTCTAGCAGAAAATACTTTAACAGTCCAAACCAGATGTTAGGATCCGCTCCTGTGCATTTTCCATTAACCCTCCAGTTGCCATTGCAGATCTAGCTACATTGAGGTTAGAGATGTGTGCCACTGCACCCTAGAAGAAGAAATGAGTTAGAGGGCATGGAGGTCCTAGAATTCCCCAGTACCGAAAATCTTGTACAGAGATATACTGGTTCCTTTACTGAAAGTTACGTTTTTAAATTTTTTTCCCGTTAGGGATCAAACCCAGGGCCTTGCACATGCTAGGCAAGCACTGTGTCACTGAATTATATTCCCAGCCCCTATATCTTGTTCATATGGGTGAAATAGAGGCCCAGAGAGAAATACGTGTTGTCATCAATGCATTTCTATATAGTACCCTGTACCCTAACTTGCTCAACTAGTCAGTGATAGGATTGAGATTAAAAATGAGATCTTCTATATTCCAGACTAAGGAGAATGCTACCTTTGTACTTGTCTGTCTATTTTTCACTTATCTTCATCCGAAAAGGGCTGGAGACCAGATACACTGGACAAGTCCATTCATTTAAGGGACCCTACATTTGGGGCATTTATTTCCAGATTTTTTTCCCTCTGCATAGCACCTTTGGTAAAGAAAACGCCAGAACCAGTAGATTTCCTTAACATAAATTAGTTTTTTCTGTCCCCCTTCATTTTTAAGAAAAAAAGTGTTTTAGATTGTGTCTCATTATGTTGCTGACGCTGCCCTGGAACTCACTGTGTAATATCGGATGGTCTTCTACCTTAGCTTCTTGGAGTTTTGGTGTTTAATTTACAATTCATGTTGTAAATCATAATCAATTCTGTACTCACATTGTTGTTTGCAGTGAAAATATCTTTATGTCTGCCTTCCCATGGCATATTGATCTTAAGTCCCTAAAAATATTTGTATAGCTTTCCTTTCTCCCATCTGCTGTAACTTGAACCAAGGATCCTCAACTTTTAATATGCTGAAACAACTTCATATTTTAGCATCCAGCTATCATAGTACTTCATATTCAAATTTCCCTACATGTGGTGATAGTAGTGGTGGTGGTGTTTGTGGTGGTGGTGGTGTGTGTGTGTGTGTGTGTGTGTGTGTGTGCTCGCACATACATGTGTGCATGTGCACACATATGCACATGGGAATGTGTGTGCATGCATGCGGAGACCAGAGATTGATGAGGGATGTCTTTCTCCATTGCTATCCACTTCACTTTTTGAGTCAGGGTATTTCTATGAACTGGAGCTCACTAATTGGCAAGATTAGCTGGCCAGTGAGCTCCAGGGCTCTGCCTGTCACTGCTGCCTGCAGCACTGAGGTTACAGGTGGGTGCCAATGCACCTTGTTTTTGACTTGGTTGATGGGGATCCGAACTCAGATTGTCAGGCTTGAATAACAAGCACTATACTCACTGAATCATCTCCACTGCCGAAATACTGATATTTTCAAAAGTCAAATGACTCTGATGCAAATTAGAACAAAATAATTAGCAAAATATATTAAACAGTTAATTGTTTAACTTTCTGAGTGAGACTATCTAAAGGTATTGACCTTTAAGTATTCAGACACATCAATATACCCTTTATCTTATTGTTAATATTATAACAATTTTATAAATAAGTGCTGGTGATGTGGGATTTAAACTTTATTATTTCTGGTGTAATTCAAGTCTTCTGTCACATATACTTGATTTATCTTGTTTGTGGGATTTTAAATAAACTGAGAAAAATGTTCCTAAATTAAATTATATGGTAATTAAGTTGAAAACAAATTTTGAGAAAAGATTATGAAAGATAGATATTTTACTTAAAACTATTTATCCAAATAGAAATGTTGAATATTCATATAGCCACTCATTTTTTAATTAATGAGTCATATATTCAATAGCTTTAGTTGGATTTTGTTTTTTCCTATTCTCATCAAGAGAATCTCAACTATCTAGTCATAATTTTTAAACTTTTAAAGTTAGAAATAAAATAAAGCAAAACCCAACAATGAATGGCTATGGATTTAGTGATTAAATGTATATCACATATTGAGTGCCTGCAATCTCCTAGGGTCTATGGTAGGTCCTTGGGGAGTTAATGCTCCCTGTGATAAGTACTTTTGCTGCTCCCCTGAGCATTCAAATGTAGGCAATACAGTGGAAATCACTCTGAGTTTTAATTTTGAGTTGAGAGTATGCTGGGTTTGAATTCTAGCTCTGATTTTGGTGGCTGGGTGACTGGATAAGTTTCGTAACTACTCTGAGCCTCCTTTGGAATATAAGAATGATGACAATATTACTCATCTCATAGAATGGTTGTTGAAGATTGAACAAGAAAATAAACATAAAATTCTTAGTATAGAGTTTAGCTCAGAATAAATGAAGGCCTACATAAATGGCTGGAGCAAACAGTTCCAGATTTCCAGATGCTGCCCCCACCCCTCTAGGCACCAGAGGAGGGAAAGAAAGAGTCCATGGAAGCAAGCTGCATATTGAATTAGCATCATCGACTTAAGGTGGAAACCCAATCCCATTAGAATACTTGGGGTATTTGAGATTTAAAATTCCATAACAAAGTAAGCTTTACATCTTGGTGCCTACTGAATAATGATTTTTTCATTTGTATTCCAGGTGATTTGCATGGGAAATTGGATGATCTTTTGTTGATCTTCTATAAGGTAAATGATTGCTTTCCTAACTATTTGTGCTTTTGGTGAGTGAGGGCAGTCCTAGGGCATATAACAATATTAGTTTTGTTGTATGCATGCCTGTACACACAAATATAAATGTAATGTAACAGTTTTTTTAAACTTAGAAGCTCAAAGATTTGTAGAGACATGTCTTTTGATTTTTTTCACACATCTCAGAGATTTGCTAAAAAATGTAATTAGATTCTTTGTTCAACATTGTGGCTATCTGTGTATCAGTTGGAATGTGTACCTTTATTATGCCATAGAAGTTGAAGTGGTACAGGATGAAGAGGAATGCAGTCTGTTTTATTTTGCTTGGAAATTAACACATCGCATAATGAGTCTTCTCCTTGATTGCACACTAATTATGTGTGAAAAGAGATTCCTTTAGTAAGTTTCAAATTGCTGTCTTTTCTCCCTCGATTCATCAGCTCTGAGTTCAGTGGCTCAGCGGGTGTGTCATCTTTTTCACGGAGGGTATAACATAGTGTGGCTGGCATGGAGTAGATCTGGATCCCTTTGACTGGATTCACTCTTCTCTCCGAGCCAACAGTTGCTACCTGAATGTTTGCTTCTAGAATGATGACATCTAGAAAATTGTTCATGGGACTCCAGGACTACCTTTTAACACTGCTCTTCTAAATGTCTCTTTTGTTTGATGCATTTATTATTCACCTATGTTATCCTCGTGACTAGCAAGATTAACCACAATTAATTTTTTAGCTTCCATATTATCTTGGGCTTCCATTCCATACAATATCTTATGGATACAATAATGGAATTATCCAAGAACATTTTTATTTTTTTTAATACTTATTTATTATATTTTTATTTAAATTTTTCATATAATATATTCTGATCATATTCTTTCCCTTCTCCCAACTTCTCCTAGATCCTCCCCATGTCCCTACCAACTCAACTTCAAGTTCATGTTCTCTCTCTGTCTCTCTCTGCTTCTCTGTCTGTGTCTCTGTCTCTGTCTGTCTGTCTGTCTGTCTGTCTCTCTCTCTCTCTCTCTCTCACACACACACACACACACACTAGCAATTTTACTGTTTTTTTAAGACAGGGTTTCTTTATGTAACAGCCCTAGCTGTCCTTGGACTCTCTTTGTAGACCAGGTTGGCCTCAAACTCACAGAGATCTGCCTGCCTTTGCCTCCTGAGTGCTGGGATTAAAGGCACATGCCACCATGCCTGACTCACCCAGCAGCATTTTTAAAGAACTACATTATAACAGAAGTGCAATCTTTTGTTTTATTCATCCATAATGGCAACTTGGAAGAAAATGGGATAGGCCAAACTAGAAGTAGGTCAATGGATCTGGCACTTTGGAGCAGATTTGGATGAGACTTCCAGCAGCCTAAGCAAGGAGGGTGTTGATAGGAAGTTGGAAGCTCCCTAGGCAGTTGGTGGTATAGGAATTTCAGACAAAGGCTTACTAGTAAGGAACTGAGGGAGTTAGTAAAGAGAACTTCTGGATGTCAGCCATAGGAGTCAAGCTAGGGAAGGAAGGAAGAGTGTAGCTAGAGTTTTCCTGCCTGGCCCACAGTCAGGACAAATCTCTCTCACCTGTCAGTCCCACAGCCATTCAGACCAGAACAAGTAAACACAGAGACTTATATTGGTTACAAACTGTATGGCCGTGGCAGGCTTCTTGCTAACTGTTCTTACAGCTTAAATTAATCCATTTCCATTAATCTATACCTTGCCACGTGGCTTGTGGCTTACCGGTACTTTACATCTTCTTTGTCCTGATGGCGGCTGGCAGTGTCTCCCTCACCCAGCTTTCTGTTCTCTCAGTTCTCCTCTCTGTTAGTCCCGCCTATACTTCCTGCCTGGCCACTGCCAATCAGCGATTTATTCATTGACCAATCAACAACACATTTGACATACAGACCATCCCACAGCAGAAGAGACCAGTGTGGGAGGAATGGGAGTATTGAAGGATTAGAATGCTCACTAGGTTCAGGGAGTAGCTGGAAGGGCCTTAGGAAGCAGGATGGGTGGGAAATTGCAGGAGCAATATTCCCAGGTGATATGAGGTAGAATCAGAAGGCAAGCTTCAAGGATGAGTAAAAGAATATCGGTGGCAACAAGGAGGGCAAACACCAGTCAAAAAATATGTGTTGAATGAGTTGGCCCCATAGACCTAGCTAGAGCGGAGGAGCTGAGGAGCTGAGCAAGAGATTTCGTCAAAGGTTCTGGGTTTGAAAGGAGGCATGCAAAGTGTTAGACCTTCCTCTACCCTGACCCTGAAGTGTTTATCCTTGCAGAAAATGGGTTCTTTCCTTTCAGAGTGATGCTGGAGTCAGGGGTCCAGCAGCATCCTTAAAGGAGGCCCACATTGTGGAGAGAATTCTTTCTGGATGAGGTGAATTAGAGGGAGCTTATTTACTATGATATGGGGATACCCCTGGCCAGATTGGAAAGGTGTAGGAGATGACGGATGGAGTGGTAAAGGGAAGTCTCAGGTTGCCCAATGTGAGGAATATTTCCCTGACTTACCATAATACCCCATACTAAATGTCCCAAAGTATGATCTGAGGATGGGGATATGGAAAGCAATAACCAAAACTATCTATCTGGCAATAACCAAAACTATCTGGCAAGTCTTTACCTAGAGACTTTAGAAAATACATAAAAAGGAAAATGGTTGAGCACGTTAGATGGGGAAGTGGTCTCTAAATTCCAAGGCATTTGGAAAAGAACCGTTTTCAAGGGGGAGCCGAAGGTATTGGGGTGTGATCAGTCACTGAGTCCTGGAGCAGAGAGGTCAGAACAGAGTATTCTGATACCATTCTTTAATTGCACTGGCAAAGTGACATGGAACATATAAAACTGGAAGGTGCTAATGTAAAGACTGAACAGGAGGCGGTGGGCGGTAAGAAGCATAAAAGGAACTCAAGGTGAAAATATAGCATTCACATGGAAGCAAGAAACATCTCAAGAGTTCTCCAGTGACATTATTCAGGGAATGGAGATTAGAGGCCCTGAAGAAACGGAGAAGGAAGTGTGGATTGGGGGACATTTTGGAGTGATATATAAGAGCCCTGGGTTAGAATTTTGCCAAGCTCAAGGTGAGAAGGTAAAATGCAGATTGGGCCTGGAACGAACCATCTACATCACTTGCCTGACTTAATGGAGAGTAGAGGGAAGGACCATTGACGATGTCGAGGTTTCCCTTTGAAGAAACTGCAAAGAGATCTATGTCCAACATGAGGACTATATTAATCAAATTGTATTTATTGGCTGCTGAGTTATGAGGTAGGTGCTTTTAGGGACAAACTCCTGTATTAATGCATTTTCCAAGTGTCCTTTTCCTTCTGCAGCTAAAATCATATATGGGAAGTAAGTATGCCCAGATGCTTTCCTTTCTGCCATCTTTATAAGACAAGCTAAGCATACCCAAAAGTGTCCCTGTCTACCATTTTAACCTTTGAAATGTGTTCTTCATAACCCTGAGCTGAGCATGCTGAAAAATGTGTCCACTCTTTTTCCTTCTTAAACTGAACATGCTCAGAAATGTACTCCCTGAGTGAGTGTTCCAGGAACATGCCCACCCTTACAGAGATTTCCCATGTAAAACCCCTATGCTGCTTTCACTGGAAGAGGATGTTTCACTGGAAGAGGATGTCTGCTGTTCCCTTACCTACTACCACAGGGAGCAAACTTCCCTCGCGTGCATTTCTTGGTCACACCTGTTTTGGTTTTATGATCCAAGATGTGAACCTACTGTGCTCAGTTACTTACTCTGTCTGATATTCATGCTAAATGAGTTTATTTTAGTGGTGAGTGCCAAAAAAAATGAGTAGCTATGTGAGACGATAGGTATGTTGATTTCCTTCACTGTGGTTCCTTTTTTAGTCTTTGTATGTAGCCTATAACATCATGTTATATATCTGAAGCATATAAAATAATAACCTTTTAAAAGGAAGAAAATTTTTTAAAAGAAATAATAACCTTTTAAAACTTTTAAAAGGAAGTCAGGAGTAACTATGATAAGGTAGTGAGGGCAAGGGAGTTCGGCACTAATATCATTAGTATTTTTAACAATGGCACAAGAAAAAGTGCTGAAACCTTACATTCGTGTGTGTGTGTGTGTGTGTGTGTGTGTGTGTGTGTGTGTGTGTGTGTGTGTGTGTGTGTGTGTGTGTGTGTACAGTTTCAGTTTTTGAGACAGGATCTTGCTTTGTAACCCAGGCTGCCCTTAATGAGCCCAGGCTTCCCTAAAACTCAGGATGATTCTACTTTGAATGCTAAGATTACAGATCTGACTCACCATGCTCAGCTTATTATTATTATTGTTGTTGTTGTTTTGAGACAGGGTCTCACTATGTTGCATTGGTTGGTTTGGAACTCACTCTGTAGACCAGGCTGCCTTTGAACTCACAGAGATCCTGCCTCTGCCTCTGAGTGCTGAGATTAGAGACATATGCCACCATGCCAAGCCTCATATTATTATTTGAAAAGCATTTATACTAATTGAATAAAGTTTTTTTATTGTAGTGGGGAAAATTCCTGAGAAGATGCAGTTTAATGGTATCTGAGAGAAGAAATGGCAGGAAGACCTTATGATGATGTTATAGGGCCTCAGCCTATGCCAACTGAGTACTGAGATAAAGACAGTGAAGTGAAGAGTCAGGACAAAAGACACATGCAAAGAAGCACTCTCTGATTTCCAAAAGTCAGCATTTTGGCCCTTTCTGTCTCATTTTGGTCTGTAATTTGAATGCAGAATGGTAACACTTGGCATGAGGGTGGTCCTACCTAAAACCAAGAATACAAACTGTTCTAGAAACTGTGTTTCCATATGAGAAAAAGGATACCTCACCTCTCAGGCTGTCAAACTTACAACTGTGTTCCTTTCTTTGCTGTCACTCATGTGGTTTCAAATGGAGGACTGGGTTCAAATCTAATCTTTTGACCTCTTGAAATAGTCATGAATCCGTTTGACTATTCATAGGACAGGCCATAGGCCCTAACTCA